CAACTGAGCCGCTTCACACTCGGCCGCAAACCTACCCAGCAAGAGCTGAAGGTCAGAGCTGGATGAAGCTAGGAGGACCACATCATCCGCAAAAATCAGAGAAGAGATTCTCCTGCCACCAAACTCGACACACTCCACACCACAGCTACACCAAGAAATTCTGTCCATAAAGGTAATGAACAGAACCGGTGACAAAGGGCAGCCCTGGCAGAGTCCAACCCTCACCGGGAACAGGTCCGACTTACTACCGGCTATGCGGACCAAACTCCTCTGGTAAAGGGACCGAATGGCCCTTAACAGAAAGCCACCATACTTCTGAAGCATCCCCCACAGGGTGCCCCTGGGGACATGGTCATAAGCCTTCTCCAAATCCACAAAACACATGTGGATTGGTTGGGCAAACTCCCATGCCCCCTCCATCACCCTTGCAAGGGTATAGAGCTGGTCCACAGTTCCACGGCCAGGACGAAAACCAAATTGCTCCTCCTCAATCTGAGATTCAGCTATCGATCGGACCCTCCTCTCCAGTACCTTGGAGTAGACCTTTCCAGGGAGGCTGAGGAGTGTGATCCCCCTATAGTTGGAACACACCCTCAGGTCACCCTTCTTAAAGATGGGGACCACCACCCCGGTCTGCCACTCCCTAGGAACTGCCCCCGATGACCACGCAATGTTGTAGAGACGTGTCAACCATGACAGCCCTACAACATCCATAGCCTTGAGATACCCAGGATGAACCTCATCCGCCCCCGGGGCTCCGCTGCTGTATAGTTGTTTGACTACCTCAGCAACTTCTGCCCCCGAGATTGGACAGTCCATCCCCAGGTCTCCCGGCTCTGGTTCCTCCTCGGAATGCGCATAGGTGGGATTGAGGAGCTCCTCAAAGTATTCCTTCCACCGTCCGACTTTAGCCTCAGTTGGCGTCAGCAGCTCCCCATCCCCCCTGTAAACAGTGTGAGCGAGTTGCTGCCTTTCTCTCCTGAGGCGCCGGACAGTTTGCCAGAACCTATTTGGAGCCGATCGATAGTCTTTCTCCATGGCCTCACCAAACTCCTCCCACGCCCGAGATTTTGCCTTGGCAACTGCCACTGCTGCACCCCGCTTGGCTATCCGGTACCTGTCTGCTGCCTCCGGAGACCCACAGACTAGCCACGCCCTGTAGGCCTCCTTCTTCAGCCTGACAGCTCCCCGAACCTCTGGTGTTCACCAGCGGGTACGGGGGTTGCCACCACGACTGGCACCGGCCACCTTGCGACCACAGCTAGCAACAGCCGCCTCAACAATCGCAGAGTGGAACAAGGCCCACTCGGAGTTGATGTCCCCCACTGCTCTCGGGATGCGGTCAAAGCTCTGCCGGAGGTGGGAGTTGAACACTGTCTTAACAGATTCTTCTGCCAGGTGTTCCCAGCAGACCCTCACTACGCGTTTGGGTCTGCCAGGTCTACGCGGCATCTTCCCCTGCCATCTGATCCAACTCACCACCAGGTGGTGATCAGTTGACAGCTCTGGTCCTCTCTTCACTCGGGTGTCCAAAACATACGGCCGCAGGTCAGATGATACGACTACAAAGTCTATCATCGACCTACGACCTAGGCTGCCCTGGTACCAAGTGTACTGATGGGCATCCTTATGTTCGAACATGGCGTTTGTTATGGCCAAACTGCGGCTTGCACAGAAGTCCAATAACGAAACACCACTCGAGTTCAGATCAGGCGAGCCGTTCCTCCCAATCACCCCTCCAGGTCAAGCTGTCATTGCCCACATGAGCAATGAAGTCCCCTAGCAGGACAATGGAGTACTATCTAGCACTCGACCCCGGGACTCCAAAAAGGGTGGGTAATCTGAACTGATATTTGGCCCATAAGCACAAACAACAGTCAGGACACATGTCCCGACCCGAAGGTGCAGGGAAGCTACCCTCTCGTCCCCCGGGGTAAACCCCAACACACAGGCAGAGAGTCTTGGGGCTAACAAAAAGCCAACCCCAGCCCTCCGCCTCTCACTCGGAGCAACTCCAGCAAAGGAAAGTGTCCAACCCCTCTCAAGGACTTGGGTTCCAGAGCCAATACTATGTGTCGAGGTGAGTCCGACTATATCTAGCCGGTACCGCACAACCTCTGCCACAAGCTCCTGCTCCTTCCCCGCCAGCGAGGTGATGTTCCATGTCCCAAAAACCAGTTTTCTTGTCCGGGGATCGGACCGCCAAGGCTCCCGCCTCGGTCTGCCACCCGATCCACATTGCACCGGACCCTTCATGTTCCTCCTGCGGGTGGTGGGCCCACAGCTGGATGAGCCCATGTATCCAGTTCGGGCTGGGCCCCATGGGCGAAAGCCCGGCCACTAGGCGCTCGCTCACGGGCCCCAACCCCAGGCCTGGCTCCAGGGTGGAACCCCGGTAACCCTCCGGGCCGGGTACTCCGACTCTTTGACTTTACCTCCATGAAAGATCCTGTGAACCGTTCTTTGTCTCACCCTTCACCTAAGACCAATTTGTCATGGGAGACCCTACCAGGGGCACAAAGTGCCCCAGACAACATAGCTCCTAGGATCATTAGGGCACTCAAACTCCTCCATCACGATAAGGTGACGGTTCAAGGAGGAGTGGAGCAGTATCATTAAATTAAATCAAATATAAAAACATATTTAAAAAAATTTCTTTTACTCTTTTTTTTCTTTTGGGACCAGATCCATTCTAATTCGGTTTAATATCACGTCGAGTTTATTCCAGTTAAAAACCTCGGGATGGTCCAGTTCAGTTTGAGTGAGACTGAGCTGATCAGTTCTGTGATCATAATAAATGGTCCATCCTGAGCATGAATGGAGACCTTATGTAACAAGAACTGACTCAGGAGAGGAGGTGGTCTGTAGGACGACACAAGAGGACAGAAAAAAAAGGAACTGGGATTCTGCTGCTCAGCATATTTAATTTACAGCAGACAGCGTCCAAAGGGACCTTTTCTTGTTTAGAAGAGCGTCATAGATGTTTTTTTTAATAATATATTCTACCTACAGAGATTTTTGTGTTATCTGAAATGCTTTTATTTCTATTTGTTCTCTTTTTATTTCTTAATAACTTGTCCCATGTAGTTTTGTATTCCACGTACTCCTGAGCTTTTCTGGTCCCAGTGTGTATTCACACCCATTATTGATGTGGAATTTATGACCTCCATATAAATACTCTGCTTGTTTTGTTAGTCATGTTGTTTACTTAAGCCGGTGTTCTGCTCTGGTCCAGATAGTCCAGGTTTCTGCAGAACTTAGGTTACACTTTCTGCTTTGGTTACTTTGAATTGTTCTTTGGTCTTCCATTTAGGATTTCTAAAGGTTTCTCTCCATGCAGCTGCTTCAGAACTCTTCCTCATCACAACTGCTTTTCACATTAAAATAATTAGTGAAGCCTCGAATTTGGTTGATCATTTTGCACCATCTCTGATCAGAACGCAAACGAAAAAGTCTTAAAAATTGTGATAAGAAAGCAAAGACAGGGATTAAACACTGTGTGTCAAGCTAAACTCTTCTTGACATTGTAATGTGATGTGAGTAATTAAAAGTTTGCACTGAACACTTATTTGTAACATCAGAAAATCCTGGCTGCATGAATTGAAGGTGTGTCTATGAAAATCGGCTTGAATGAGCCAATTCAACATGAGAACACGCTGTTCAGATCTGACTGCCATTTAAGGTTGTTCATGTCTTCAGTCTGTCTGTTCAACGTTGTTGCACTGAGAGGTTTCATTTTCCCTGGCTAAGGCTGCTCGTGGTCCCCTGGGAGACAGCAGAGGGAGATCCGGAGCACCCTGTTACCATCTCCACCCGCTCATCCAGACTCCAGCGTCAGGAATGTGAAACAACCCCAGGGCCCATGAAGCCTGAAGTCCCTCCTCTCTGCCACAGCAGGGAAAAAATAATGAGTTCATCATGCTGTTGAAGAGAAGGTTTGGTGATTTAACACATTAAAATCTCATTCAGGTCATAAAGTCATAGGTGTGGTTTTAAGGAGAATTTTAAGAATTGAACAAAAACTACGAAATAAAAAATACAGGTGAGTTAAACATTTAAAGTGGCACCTTTTAGATTTGATGTTTGAATTTTTTTTAAAGAACCATCATCTGTGTTCTGAATAACTTTTTTAGGATTGTCAATAATTACAGCTGGATTAATTAGTGATTAATAGATAATAGCTGATTAGATAGATTTCTTTCCAGTTTCCATAAAAAAAAGCACATTAGCAAAACATTTGTACTACACATGAATCTAATACTTAAGATATCATATGTGAGGAATGACTCTGGAGGATTTCTTTTCCAGCTCCACAATATTCAATTGTTTCATTTTGAATTTCTTTTTTCCTAAATAATTATTACAAGTTATAAAAGTTTCTAAAAGGACAAATTTCCCAGGCAGTCTATTGACCCCTCCAAAGTTAACAGAGCTAAGAACAGAAACAAACTCAAGAAATAATAAAAAAACAACAATTTTTTAATGAAAGAAATAAACTTAAAAAAATCACGTTATGACATTCACAATGAATATTATGACACAGAGAAGGGGGAATCTGAAGATTTCAGCTCCAACATAAATATTGTTCAATCAATGTTGTCTCAAATGTTCCATGTTAGGTGTTTAAAAAGTTGTCCAAATATTTATACATTTGTAACTCTTTTGCTTTTCATTTTAGTTGACATAACATAACGTCTGAATTGTTTTGTTTCGAGACAGAATCAGCATAAATCAGTCTAATCTCAGACAAAACGAGCTTGCATCAATCTTCCACAAATTACATTAGCTCAAATGTTGGCCAAACACTTTTGTCGCCTCCAAGTGGAGAAAATGTAACAGTGCATATTGACTACGGGAGACGCCAGTTCTTAAAACCATCGCACCTTAAACCGTTACTCAAACTCCCATTTTCATCCGGGATACTCCTTGGCGCTTTATTTAATTGGTTGCTGACTAAAACCTTAATCTTATTGGCCAGAGAAGCTCTGAGAGGCGGGACATCATGTTCAGTTGCGATTGCGAGGGTGAAACCACCGGTATCCGGGTACTCCAGCACGTTGTGAAGCCGCTAGTTAACAGGCAGCTGCTACGCTGGTTAAAAAAAGTCACATTATTTCAAAGCAACGTTTTCATTTTAATAGTTTGATCAGTTGGTGAGTTGTTTCGTTCCTATTTATGCTATCCTATTTTCGAAAAAGCAAATTTTCATTTCGCCGCGCTTATTTGATTAACTGGGTTGGCGTCCCGGTCTCCGTCTATTTTCTGGCCTTGCGATGATGTTAGCTGGTTTTGGCCATTGTAGCTAAGCTATTACATAGGTGTTATAACTGTGCAGTTCGCTTAATTATTAAATTATTTAAAACACAAGGCTGTTACTGAAAGTTTGAAATTGTAACTTATTTGAAAATAATTATTAATCCCCAAGTTTCGCTTTTGCTATTTCAGGAAATAGCCACCGCCCTTTCAGTCGTGACTCCCGTTTTCTTTCTTTACAATATTACTTTCCACATTTGGAATTGTATGATCGAACCGAATTTGGTAGTGTTTCGTTGGTTTTATTTGTGTATAAACTACCACCTTGGGTGTGTGGTCGCTAAAAGCGAAAGGTTAGACCAGGGACCGTGCGGGACACGTGCTGGGGCTCCTTCCGTAACCTAGCAGCAGACGGGTCTCTGTTCAGCTTTGAGGCCGTGAGCTGCTCCAGCTGTCGTTGTTCAGCTCCGTGGTGTGGCCGGGCGTCGTGCCATGTGTGCTCAGGTTATATCTGGTAACGGCCGCCGGACTGGCCTTTAGTCCCTGAGGCGAGCGGGGGCCTCCATGACTCCATCACGGCTGGCACGGCGTGGCCTTTGTCTGCTTACAGTTCGAGCACCTTTACTCAAGACCGTGACTTAAGATAATAAACACAAGTCCAAGCTTATCCTCTGCGCGCATCGTGGCCCGGTGGCACATTCTGATCTCGATGTATTGCTTTGCTTGTTTCTTTAACTCGGTTTCATTTCATGATGGATGGGATTTCGCTGGTTGTCTTTATGAGGATGCTCATTTCTGGTTCTGAATGATCTGATAGAAGAAGGATTAGACCGTAGCTTCTATGTGACTAACGTAAATTCTCAGGTTTGATTACCTGTTCTTTATTTGCCTCCTGCCTGAGCAGAAACAGGTTCTCTCACCAACTCATTCATCAAATGTTGCCATAATGTGTTGCATAACGCTAGGTGCCAAAATTATTGTTGCAGGATTGTTAAAAACTAAATGAAGACAATTGTTTTTGATGACTATTAGTTATCAATGTTTACATTAAAACATTTTACAGTTAAAAATATTGTCTTTGATCAGGAACCTGAGCTACAAGTTTTTATTTTATTTTTACAAATTGATTTAAATATATCAAGACTAATGATTTCACTCTCTGTAGTCTGTGGAAGTAGCTGCCTTATGAATTTCTCCACTGTCGGATTAATGAAGTTATTTTATTCTGATTCTTGGATCAAATCACCAGTTTCTTTGTCCCTACTTGGAATCACAGTCCGTCATTTTCTTTGTCAGTGACACTTTTCTTATTTGCAGAGATTTCCAGTTGACCAAAGAAATGGTGATGGAGAAGCCAAGTGCCCAGCTGGTCGGGCGAGAGTTTGTCCGACAGTATTACACACTCCTGAACCAGGCCCCCGACTACCTGCACAGGTACGGAAGTCAGCTGCTTGTGGAGGGTTTGATTTTGAAGTTTAAATGGTTTTATGATAAATTGTTAAATATTTGTACAAACAACTAGTTTGTCTTTTTGTTCAGGTTTTACGGAAAGAACTCCTCCTATGTGCATGGTGGCCTGGACAGCAACGGCAAACCAGTAGAGGCGGTTTATGGACAATCTGTAAGTGGGCTTCACCCAGTTAGAGGCATTTTCCAGCGGCAATACTTGGTGCAACTCGGGAGGGTTTGGTTTGGTCTGATTGCTTTTGTCCAACGGCGCGTTTTGGTATTTTTCCCCTGCTTTCCCTCTACTTTTCAGTCCCTCTGTTTTGGTTCCAAGAGCTGAACCGGTATTTCGACTGTCGGCCACTGATTGGCTAGGGGGCGGAGTCACTGGTTGCTCCAGAGCCTTCTGTCTGCTGTCTGAAACCATAAAACTGAAGAGTGTTCAACATCACCTTTATTTTTGTGCAGAGTTGTTTCTGTGGAGCATGCAGGTCACCTCACAGTGTGTACTGATGACCTTGTGCTATTTTTGTCGCGTAAAGATCCCTGCACAAGCAAATGCTGTGGTCCCCCCCATCCGCTATGAGGGGTGCACCCACTTTTTGTCTCTGAGCAGGCAAGGAAAGCCAAGTACTCTGGTGAGCCGAGTTAACCCACGCTGCACTGAGCTGTTTTAGCCTGAGTAGTGCTGTTGGAAAAGGCCTGTTAGGTGTGTCTCATAGTCTCATGAATCTAGAATGTGAAATATTCATGAATATATTTTCTTTTCAAGAGTCATTGTTACACACTTGTTTTTTTCTTCCAGAAACTAAGTTTTCTAGGTAGTTTAACATTCTGATGAATGTTTATCAGTACTTTCTGATTTATTAATCCTCACTTAAATTGTTTTATTCTAATGCTTGTTAAAATAACCATTATCACTCTTGTCATGTAGTTGGATAATTGAGAAAGTTTATGCAACAATCAAATGATTGATTGCTGTTAAATGTCCAAATTAAATCTTCAGTTCGTTAAATCTTTTGAATTTTTTTTTTATCAGGAGATCCATAAAAGAGTGATGGCTTTGAGTTTCCGAGACTGCCACACTAAGATCAGACATGTGGACGCTCACGCTACTCTGAACGAAGGCGTGGTGGTGCAGGTGATGGGCGAGCTGTCTAATAACATGCAGCCCATGAGGAAGTTCATGCAGACCTTCGTTCTGGCACCAGAGGTTGGTATTAGATTATTAATATATTTTTTTCATTGATCTGATCAGTTTATTCACATGCATGTTTTTCCAGGGTACGGTGGCAAATAAATTCTACGTCCACAACGACGTGTTTCGTTACCAAGACGAGGTGTTTGGTGACTCTGACTCTGAGCCTCCAGAAGGTGAGAAACTGTTTTGTTTTATGACCTAAACATTTTTCTCTCTGAAATTGATGTAATGTAGCAAGTTTAAAAGAGGTTTAAAAAACATTTTTTTAATATTTCTGTTCATAATCGGTCACTTTGGGTTTTTCAAGCAGGCTGAACATGAAAATAGTCTCCTACACCAATCTGCTGCATTAGCTTCTGACGGTGAAGCTCTAGGGTTAGAAAGTCCTTGACGTATCTGCGTCACACTGTCACTTGGCATTCATGGACTCCCTTCCAGTTTTCAATCCAGCGATCACATGTAGTTCAAGCAGAGCAAGAAACCAAAGAGGAAGAACTTTCATGCCAAAGCACAAAGGCAAAACGTGGAGCATTGTATCTTGTAAGTCCCTAAACAGCAATGGTAATTAAGATGGTTAATGGACATGGAGTGTCAACCTTCTTTTATGTTTATAAAAACGTTACATTTAAAGCTAATATGAATATTTAGAATGGACTTTGGTGAGATTTGTTAATGACAAAGGTCAAGTTTGTGAACACAGAATTTGATAGTAAACAAGTAAAAATATTGCACACTCTGCCTTTAACATCAACCATTTTCCATTTTTTGAGATCTATAGAAACTGTATATTGATGGTTTACTGGAGCAGATTATTTGTAACAATGGTTAAACTGGTCCATGGGGATGGGTCCAAGGTAGAGAAATAATCCCTCTAAAACATTCATTTAAAATCAGTTTATTATTCCATTGATCAGGGTATCCGCGGCGTCTTAAAAGTCATGAATTTGATGAAAGGAAAATTAAGACCCTTAAATGTCTTAAATCGATTTAGTGAAGTCTTAAATTTGGTTGCAAACTTGAAAAAAATGTTGGCGAAAATTGCCGTTTATGAAACCAAATGCGTTCATGGGAATGAAAGACTTTTTGTTTTAGGGAAGGTGAGTCTGATCGGGTTTCAGTCGCTCTTTATAAGAATCTGTTTCAGAAAAATGAGGAGTGTTCATCTTCTTCACAAACCCATCTTTGTTAGTGGGTCACGAGACGCCATTTGACCAATCACAGTCATTGACTACGTTTACATGCAGCCAATATCCGGGTTAAGATCGGTATTCGGGTTTCTGAGTTGATCAGAATAACCCGTTTACAAGCATAAATAGAAAGAGTTACCCCTAACTTGCATAACCCGATTTAAATGCGGACATTGGGGTAGCATCAGGACGTATGGACTACGTCAAGACGCAATATCCGTCATTTCCGGTTCATTCTTTTCGGTTACCTTCTTGTATATTTCGCTGTCTCTGTACTTTCGGCCGTCAACAAACGACAATGTTCATACTTTTCACCAGACCGATGAAGTCAGAGGTTTCCTCATCACTCCAAAAGTGTGGTGCTGTGCCGCGACTCGCCATGTTGCTCCCAACTTGTTGTTTACCTCCGGTGTTCTGGCGCATACAAGATGTGTCGCTACTCAAAAGACCAAGATTCCTTGCGAACAGAGCATGCGCAGAACACACGCTTTGATGGGGATATCCCGATATGCGTTTACACGACCAAACATTCGGGTTAGAAAAGGGTTACCCCAGGTATAGTAACTGGGTTTTATAAAACCCGGTTATGAGCATGTCCAGGTTTTTGGCAGTGTTTACATGGACCTGCGGAACCGGGTTATTGTGAATATTCGGGTTTTTAAAGGGTTACTGGCTGCATGTAAACGCACTCACAGAGACAGCTAGGGAAAAACACAGCGGTAGCCGGTACCACGGCGCCGCTACTACTGTCGCTTCAACATCTGGCAGCGGCTGGGGCTTAAAGTTCGTACAATCATCAAAATCCCCTCCCAGATACCAGTTTTCTGTCCAGAGCTTTAGCAGGTTTGTCTCCTTGCAGTTTCAGCCTTCACTGATGTTTCCTGAGGCTTGTGTTCTTATTTTTTGGGAGGGGGAGGAGTTGAGTTCAAGTGTTGGTCAGAAACTGCTTTCCCAGGAATTAGACAGGTCCATCCTAACCTAAAGAAGATTCTGACAGACAAGCTGCTGCAATTGTTTTTTCAGATTTGTACAAGCTAAACCCTTTAGGCACGCCTTCCCTACATGTTATATAAGAGATTTGAAATCAAGAAGAAGAAAAACTTGCAAAACAGTATGGATCTGTTCTCAGTGAGATGTTATTAGTGGAAAATAAACATAAATATATCTAAAGATGTTACTGGTACTTTTACTATCATTCTGTTGTGGAAAGTCAGCACAAATATTCAGTGAAAACTTTAAAAAGCTGCTTAAACCTTCATTATTTTATAGTGGGCCTTTCTATATTTATAAAATCAGTTGATTGTTTAAAGTAACTGTAACTAAAGTTACTCAGAGCCACAGCAGAAGGTCCAGTCTGAGTTAAGCTGTGGTAGCTGCAGAGGAACTGAGAAACAACATTAAAGCTTTTGCTATTTGCTTGTTCAAGTTTAATTCAAATCGAACATATAAGACATCAATTATATATTATTTCTATGTATATTTAACAGTCATGCTGGAGATAAAAGGCAGAATAGATTAACATTTTAACTTTATCTGGTTACATTGAAGCTTCATGTCCCACAGTGAGCAGTCTGTCCCACATGTGGGGAGTTGGGATCTGGTCATCCTACTGAAGAATGATTACAGTAATTTGGAATATTTTCAGATGTTTTTATGTTTGGTGTTTTGTGAATTAGTTTCATAATAATAGTTAATTATTATATGATGATCCCTAATCATTATCTGATCAGTTCTGTTAGCTTATTATATTTAGCTTTCATGATTCGTAGGACTGGTAGAAAGTTGCTTGCATTTTGCAAAAACATCACATAAAAAATATATATATTTTTTAAATGTTCTCAATAAAATAAAAGTATATAAATGTCAGAGGTCACTACAAAACCCACTGTAGAATAGATGCACACCTGCAGCACGTGAGGACCTTGTTTGGGGGAGTTATTTTGTCACTTTTTTCACAGCCTTGGAGTTTGCGGGTATGAAAAATAGATGCATGTAAACTAAAAATAAATATATTTTGTTCGTCTATGCGTGCGGTTTGCATTTTTGTACCATGGGGCTTTCCATATTATTGCTACAGCCTCGCTGTCCCGGGTGGGACGTAACCCAACATGAAGTGGAAAACGAAGCGATGCAGTATTTAAAAACAATATATAAGTGTTTAACAGTTGATTAGTTCTTTGCGATAGACTTAATTTTATTTTTTACAAGGTCTTAAAAAGTCTTGAAAAGGTCTTAAATTTAATTTTGAGATTCCTGCCTATACCCTGATAGATATGAATCCAGTTTTTTTTTCTTTAGTTGTACATTGCGTTGTTCATGAAATAGTTTTTACTGTGTTTTATTTTCAGAGTCTGAGGATGAGGAACCGGAGAGGGTCCCCTCACCTGACATCGCCCCCGAAGACTCCGCCCCCTTCTACGACCCAACCCCTTGGTACGGCTTTAACACCTTTTCAGAAGTTTACCGTTGTGTTTTCTACTAAAGTGCTTTAGCTTGATATTGCAGGCATTGTTGCCAAGTGCTAAAGAAAACTAAACAATTTAAGTTTTAATACTATTTAATGTAACTAATTATTACTACCTTGTCAGAGTTAGAAATGCTGTTGTTTTGACAAAACGGACCTGGTTACAGTTCAGACCCAGTGGCTCAAGGTGATGAGGAGGAAGCAGCTGCTGTGAGTCCAGAACCAGAACAGGAGACTGAGAAGGAGGTTGAGGCTGTTGAAGAGGAGCTCACGGCTGATGTGATGCAGGAGACTCGGACAGAAACGCACACAGCTGATGATCAGACAGAGAAAAGCTCCACCACCCCAGTCCCTCCAACTACAGAACCTTCCTCTGCACCTGCAGAACCTGCCCCCGCTGCCCCAGAAGAGAACAGGGTAGGTCTGAATACCTCAACAGCCTTTTAGCAAATTCAACCAGGAGCTCAAAGCAGTTGTTCTTCCATCTGGTCTTCCTAACAGCCTTTCTCCTGGGCATCGGTCACCAGTAAGAACCTCCCTCCCAGTGGGGCTGTCCCAGTCTCAGGAATCCCTCCTCACGTTAAAGTCGCTCCCACCGCTCAGGTAAGTTTTATTTTTATTTTACTTTCACCTTGATTTCACTTAAGTTTTCAGCCATTAAAAGATCATTAGATTTTTTCTTATTTATTTGTAGAAGAGGAAAAACTTCTCAATTGTTTCCAGATCCAAACTGTTAAATAGTCTCAGTATATTTAAAGCTTGATGAAATAAATGAAAACTCACACACTAGTGGCTGCTGTGATCAATAGGGTTGAGCATTGTTTTTGAATTTGAATGATTCTAGTTCCTATTGATTCTCAGTTTCAATTCTTTCAAGAGCCGGGGTCCAAACACACGACATGTTTTAAATGAGACCGCTAACCATAGGTCTTACTTGATTAAAGGGGGAGTCACACCATGGGTGGAGTTTTACTTCAACCACACTTCCTGTTAGAAAAATTCATGTGGCGGACCGAGAGATGGAGAAAGGCAGTGGTTGACAGCACCCCCACCCCCATGCGCTCTTGGAATTTCACAGGTTGAAAAACGAGTCCGTAACAAGCGCGCTCACACACAGCAGACTCACAGCTCGGGAGAAGAGCAAACACAGAAACTGCAGCAGGCTGGAAGGTTTTCCGTCCACTGCGATCACTAAAGGACAGGAGGGCTTTTTTAAGGAGAGTGACTCTGAGCTGTAACGTGTCATGTTGGCAGGAATCCTGGAAAAACTGAAAATTAGTCCAGATTCCAATCAGTGCTTGATGCCCAAACCTATTGATCAACAGGATCTGTTGAATTCTCTTTAGGTAGAGATTTTTTATTTTTTTGTCTTTTATCCTAAATCCTGACCGCTTTCAAATTTATTTATTTATTTTTCAGCCACGTGTGGAAACAAAGTCTGAGTCACAGACAACAACACAGAGACCGCAGAGGGACCAGAGACCAAGAGAACAGAGACCTGGAGGTCCTCCGCTAGCCCACAGAGGGCCCAGACCAGGTACACATGGTTCAAGCTCCACATCACCCAGAGCTGATGTGAGCAGGTTTAGGACTACAGAAGAAACCAAACTAGTGAAATCTGTTAAGTATGCATTTGTTTCTCCTTTATCTTTTAGCTCGAGAGGGCGAGCAAGGCGAGTCGGAGGTTCGAAGGGTGGTCCGGTACCCAGATGCTCATCAGCTTTTTGTGGGCAATGTTCCTCATGATGTGGACAAGTCTGAACTAAAAGAGTTCTTTGAGCGTGAGTTAGATCTGATTGTTGACTTCTCTGTAGCTCTGTAGGTTAGTTTAATAGAAAAAATGTATCAGAAAATATGTGGTGTATAAACACATTTCTTGTTTTTTTTAGAAAGTAAAAGATTTTTTTCATTATTTCTTATTTTGTAAGCATTGTTTAAAATTGTGAAACATTCCCTTCTCTTCCAGAGTATGGGACAGTCCTGGAGCTGCGGATCAACAGTGGAGGGAAGCTACCAAACTTTGGCTTTGTGGTGTTTGATGACTCTGAACCTGTACAGAAGATTCTCGGCCTTCGGGTAAGGAATGCTTTTTAATGCATTTTAAAAGTTTTTTGGTAAACTCGATTGACATTTAAGCAAAGTAAAATGAGGTTTTTACATATTAATTGATTTTGATCTTCTCTTTGCTTAGCCCATCAAGTTTAGAGGTGATGTCCGTCTGAATGTGGAGGAGAAGAAGACCCGGTCGGCCAGGGAGGGCGACAGACGAGACGTGAGGCCCCGTGGTCCGGGTGGCCCTGGCGGTCCAAGAGAGCGAGTAGGAGGTGGTGGAGGACCCAGGGGTCCTGCTCGGGGTGGAATGGCACAGAAACCCAGCTTTGGCTCTGGACGGGGTGCCGGGCCCACCGAGGGTCGCTATTCTGCTCCACGTCAGTGATTTAGCTGGCTCCAAACCTGAGTTAGATTACTGCCTGGATTTAATCTTTACTGGTTCATTTTCTGAAACTGATTGGTTAAAACCAAATTGGAAAAACAAAGTAGAGCAGAGTCAGTCTGTTGGAGTAATTGATCTTGTATCCAGATTTTGGTTGCTGCTCATCCAGGGCTTGACTTCTGACTCTTTTCCTTCTCATTCTGCCTCCTGAATGCTGAAGTGTATCAAAGGAGTTTCTGGGTAATCCACGCAGGTTTGGTCCAGCATTCAATGTCAAGTCAACAGCAGCCAGAATAAACAGTCATCCATAGCTGCTTCCCCCTCACCAACCCCACCACCACTACCATTATCGATCGGAGCATCGTGAGCAGAGCCGCATCCTCTGGCACCTCAGTCACACAACTTCATTTTCCTTGCAGTGCAGGTAAACTGCTGAGAGACTCGTTAGGAGTGAAGAGTGATGGTTCACATGACAATTTACATTCAAACCCACGGAGTTCTGCAGGATGTGGGTCAGCTTGCTCTGTTTTTAAAATCCCCCTTCTGGGTGTCTGAGTGCTGATCTGGCTTCAATACAACGTGCTCACTCAGATCCAGCTAAAGAAGAAAGAAAACGAGACTCGATAATGACTTCCTCAGTTTTTCACCTGATGCAGTGTTGCTTCAGAACAATGCAGGCGGCTGCTCCGGCTCTCATTTATCTCTTTTTAGGATGACTCTGAATCCAAGACATTACCAGCTCCTCAGTCAGATCACCGACAGACTTTTTCATTGGTTTTACTTGTTTTACCTGGACATTAGTCAATTTTTGTCTTGTTTTTCATGCTTAACTTGAAATTATTAACAAACCATAACACACAAACATGAAAAAAGGGTAAATACTACTTGAAATGGGGAATAAAACCCGCAGTATTTTTGTTTTTTAGTTTTTTCGCGTTCTCTCCCTGTTTCTTAAAGGAACGTGTACTTTACTGTTTGGGCAATCCTGTGTATTGCTGCCACCATTGTACCTAGCGATGGATCGGTCTTATCTTTTTATTCTATCAGGTCAAGAGCTGAAACGTAGAAGTTTTATTTGAGTGTTAAATGTTGGGTTGCGTTAGTTGGATTCGGACGTGTCTGAGTGGAGCATGTATCCAAACCTGTTAGGCTTCTACTACCAATGCACTTCATCTGTCATGTTAAAATAAGCTCACATGCCGACAAGAGAACTAAATTAAAAAAACAAGTTACTGTTTTAACTTGGTTTTGATCTTTGACTCACTGGTTACAGCTGGATTAGAAAAGGTCAAGATACAGTTCTGTTCAATTACTAATCCACTTGTACTTAAGCTTTAAATTGAAAATTTTAATGCCAGATGTTGCATCTATAACCAGACAAAAAAAACAACTAAAGCAACATGCATCCTTTGTTAATAAAGATGTCTAGTGAGAGGTAGGATTAGTGTGCCAGTGATGCAATCAAGCTCACAAAGTTGTCATCTCTTTGACCATAATGGATATAATCTCAACAAATGTATGTAAGATACTTGTTTTATAAATGAGTTGTGCAATTTGCATTTCTTGGTTCTTTCTAGTTACAGATCTGTGTTTAGAAAGAACCAAGAAATGCAAGTTGAAAAGATGCACAGAGTGAACGTACAGAAGATGTTAGTTCCATATCTAAAAGGTCTGGAAATGAGGCAGAAGCAGAGAGGCCCAGACTTCCCTCTCCCCTTGGGCCAGTTCCTCCAGGAGAATCCCAAAGGCGTTTCCTGGCCAGCCGGGAAACAGTCCCTCCAGCGTGTCCTGGGTCTTTCTTTAGGTCTCCTTCCGGTTGGACGTGTCTGGAAAACCTCACCAGGGAGGCGTCCGGGAGGAGTAACCTGATGCCAGAGCCACCTCAGCTGGCTTTTCTGATGCGGAGAAGCAGCAGGTTCACTCTTAAGCCTCTCCTGGATGACGGAGCTTCTCACCCCGTCTCTAACTTCTACTTCACACTGGAAGCGTCAGCGACAACATCAGTGGAACAACACTACCCCTGTCAAGTGGGGTGACTGGCAGAAGAGTTACCTGGAGAGCTGTGGTGTCGAGTACCACTGAATCTGTTGCAGTCTTGTCCTTGGGCAAGACACTTCACCCACCTCACCCGATAGTGGTCGGCGGGACAGGTGATGCCTGTTCTCGGCAGCCTCGCCTCCATCAGTGCGCCTCAGGGCAGCTGTGGCCACAGTACAGTGTTGGGAGTAACGCAGTACAAAAGTAATTAATTACTGTAATGCATTGCTTTTTGCTGTAATGTGGTAATGTAAGGCACTACAGGGAAAGAAAGTGGTAATATTTACTCGGTACAAACGTCAGTAACGCTGTAATTACAATGCATTTTTAAACCCAGAATCAAGATGTGGGTTTCCTAAAAATTCAAATTGCGGGAAGCCTGAAGAAAGATCCAGCATCCACATATATGACGTAATTTATGGACTCAGCTTTGCGGGCATTCTATGAGCAGAGAGGACCTAGCGGTAATGGCTCAAATACTCCAGCTGCGTCCTGCGTGCGGCCGCTGTTATATTCACAAAATGGCTCCACCGAAACAAAGTCAATCATTTGCGACCGTTTATATCAGCCCATATTCTCTGGTACTTCATGTACTTTTCAGCTGAGTTCATAATCTGTGCCCCGGTGATTTCAGCTCATTGCTGCTGGAGCGCAGCACATATTAAGCTTTATTTTTATTTATTTATTTTTTTGCGTTCGGTAGATCCCTTTGGCTGATTAGTTAGAAAGTAGGAAATCTAGGAAACAGTTTTCTGGAAGACGGAGAAAACATGCAGCATGCAGGAAGGTTAGAGAGAAAAAGGGCAGGAAGTTATTCTAATAGAATCAAGAACACAAAACAAAGTGTTTGAAAAGAAAAAAAAGTAGGTAGATTTATCCCCAGTACACATTTTTACCAGCAAAAAGCAATAATATACATAAGCATTTAATATTTATACATGTGATAGAATCAGATCACCCCAGAAGTCAGTCCCACATCCAGGGCCGTATCAAGGCATTTGGGGACCAAGGCAAATATAGGCTTGGAGCCCCCACCACCCCACTCCCTGCTCAGTTAATATAAGATGGCAGCGTAATGAGAGTACAGATTGTTGTTGCTTTTATTTAATAAACAATCATTTTAAAACACTGTTATTATATCTGACTGTTTTTAACAGCAATCCTAGCTCAGACACCACATCACTTTCCACATATATGTCATGAGCTCACTGAGCGTCAGATTACCAGGTTCATATTGAAGTTGTATTGGTGAAAGTAACTTAAAGTAATGCAAAAGTAGCGTAATGCCTTACATTTTAAAATCAGTAATATTGTAATGTAATGAATTACTTTAAAATGAGGGTAACAAGTAATAAATAATGCATTACAGTTTTGAAGTAACTTGCCCAACATTGCCACAGTATAGCTCATCACCAGGCAGTGTGTGTGAATGACTGTGTTGTGAAGCACCTTGGGAGGTTGTAGAACCCTAGAAGGTGCTATAAAAACAGGATGTAGAACTTTAAGGGAAATAACCACATAAATTGTTTTACTCTAGAACTTTGCTGCAGATCTTAGCCTTGGTGATCAGATGATGTGTGTGGTTCTGACATCATTAACAGACCTTAATCAGACAGAAGATGCTAATTACAGAACAGCTCCTGATTTTAGCACCACTCTGGCAAGTTTAAGACTACTGCAGCGTAATTGAAATTGTGCATCCACACTAGTTAGTTCTGGGGCTTAAATTTGCAGACATTCTTTTATATCAAAACTTATTTAGGGGGATTTATTTCAAGTGATTTGAAACTGAACAGACCAATCACTTTACATTTCATAATAATTCTCACAAGTTCAGCATGGCTGCCTCTGAAACTTAATGTTCATTTCTGTCTCCATCTCTCTCTCTCTCTCTTTTTTTTCTTTTTTTCCTTTTGGATCTGTGTATTAAATTAAAAAAGTATGAGCTCAGATGCTGGCAGAAAGTCTCCCTGTGAATTGAATACTAATGTGACTCCAGTCCTGCTGGTAAGACGTCCTGGTTTTTCTTTCCTCCCACATTTATTTGTTTCCTGGGATTCCTGCACATCTAATTAGTCACCACAAATGGACCCACACTGCTGGGCTTTTCAATGTTGTGTTGGAAAAAGGGAAAATACAACTTTTAATCCTCCGTTAAGATTCCAGAGGGTCTAAAGATGTATTGGAATTGCCCCCATCTGTATGATTAGCATTGATCGTTTTTTTTTTTGTTGTTGTTGTTGTTTTTTGCAGGAACCTAACCAGGCTGTTGCTGCAGTCAGAGAGCGATTTACTCATTCCTCCTGATGGTCGGGTCCTGACACACCCACTCAAACACTGGTTTTGCTTTCTGATCAGATGTCTTCACTGATTTGTTTGGTTTTTAAATGTGAAGTGAATGAAAGCTTCATTTTGAATGTTGAAGACTCGTTTGCTCAGCTTTAGATGGACAGCACACCTGTTGTCCCATCTCCAACTCTTCTTGGAGATGTGCCCAGACCAGAGAGGATGACTCAAGTCTGTCTTCCATCCCCTCCCATTAAACAGTCAGAACAATGTGACTGGGAGATGTCCTAACCTGATGTGTGAACCACTTCCATCTTCAGTGAGGAGGAGCAGTGTCTTGTAAGAGAGCTGTCAAAAAGGTGTGTTTAGGATTCTAAAATTTTGTATTTGTATGTTTGTCTTCCAATAAGTGTTGAACATTAAATTCTGCTGCCACATTTGTGAGGCTGAAAATTGTGAAGATTAAGATTTTTTAAATGTGAGTATGAATCTAAAAGCTGTGAGTGAAAATACTTGTGAATACAAATGACATTTCTGTGACTTTGAAAATCTTCTGCCTGTGGATACGAATTCAGTTTGTGGGTACAAAAATAAACATACTTGTGAATTAGATTCTTTTTATGTGAGTACAAATCTAAAAGTTGTGAGTGAAAAATCTTGTGAATACAACTCAAATTTCTGTGACTGAAATGTTTCTGCCTGTGGATACGAATTCAGTTTGTGGGTACAAAAAAAACCACAGTGAAATGACGTCACGAGGATGAGCAATTGAACACCGATTTCACCAAACCTCACGCTTGAGGTCACGAGGGGGTTTTGGCAAGATGGCGCCACTGTAAGACGCCTTTTTACGGCGCTGGTGAAACTTTTCATTCAAAACTTGAATTCGCTTGCTTTAACCCCTAAAAAATGTAACTAGTATCTTAGCTCTTGTGGGGGACTGTGAAGGGAACCTTTTGACCCACATTCCTTCTTTCATTGACTTTTTGTTTTTCTGTCTTTGACTCCCGCTGTATTTATTGCTAGCTTACGAGCACGACGTGGCTTGCTAATTGTGAAAAAAGTGAAACTCCAACTGCCAAAGTTTCGAATTTCTTTGAAGAGAACCTGGCTAGGCTCTGCCAATTATGTAGTGTAATGGTTTATGCTCTTTTATGAAAGAGGAACCATTCTACATATTAATTTGAGATATTAATTTTAGTTTTAAGAAGACTCAAAGGTTGTTTTCATCGATAAACTGTCGATAATATCCGGGGGTCTGTGTTTCAGTTCAATGAAGAGACAAGTTTGAAAGTGAAAGGTTTTAATTCTTCAAATTAAACTAATGATTTTAAAATGACAAGCATAGGAAATAACAATCAACATTGGTAACTTTGTTGAACAATCTTTAACAGTTGATATTTTAAGCTTGCACAAATAGACCTTGTGTTGGATGTGCTGAAGATTGAGAATGATGTGATGTGATTATGGATGCGTGTGTGCAGGTGTCTGAGATTGCTTCAGGAAGAAACAGGTGTCTGAGTGAAAAGTGATGGTTTGAATAAACTTAGGTTTTGTTGGAAAAGATGCATCAAACGCTATCTCTCGTGGACTGCCTCACCGTATTCGGACCCTCTTTTAGATCCGGGACGTCAAAGGAGGATGTTTCATCCAGGGCACCTTGGCTGGCAGAGAAGACGAAGGTGTCCGACGCTCCGGTCCAGAGATGACCTCGGTACACGTGATGATGAAGCGTTTGCAGATGCGCTTTCTTAAGTTTAAATTACTCAGAAAATCAAAGACTCTGGACGAGTCTGCATTAGCGGTTGTAATTCAGCTATAGAGCTCCGGACCCCACGTGACTCTCAGTTAGTGGACGCCATTTTGGCATGCAAAAAAGGTAAACAAACACGGATGTAACCATGAACATGAACGGGAT